GTCCAATGAACCCTGAACTCTAGCATGCCTGTTAGTTGAAACAAAATCCCAGCCCCATCAAGGTTTCCTATCTCTGTTGTATTAAGCAGCCCAGCATAAGTGGCCATTTGTGAAACAAAAATTTCAGATGCAGATAGGCCTCCTCCAACAGCCTGAATTGTCTTGTAAAGTGATCTGCTCACATGGTTGCAAAGAGAACCAGCTTCAGCTGCCAGAACCCAGAAGAAATAAAACAGCATATTCTGCAACATGGAAAGCAGGCCAACATGCAGACAAGGGACTAAAAGGAACAGCACTGAGTCTGGAAGACAGGATAAATAACAAACCCAAAATTAGTAGAAGGAGCAGGAAAGCAGAAGTTAAGCTGGCCAATATTTGTAAATAGATCCCAGAACTGACGAAGCTGTTCACCATAAATGGGAGGAAAACACTGATGGTGGAAAGTTGCTTTTATAAAAAGAAGAAACAAGAATAATATCAGTGAAGTACTGGCTGAAATCTGCTTATTCCTAATTAATTTTTTTATCTGACTATAAAGCCAGTCTCTGGGCATGGGACAGCTTGTTGTCCAATATCAGTAATTTAAGATTTGCATCCTCCTTTAAATTACAGACCTCTTGAATTGCCCTGTCGTTAACTCCCCTTTTGCCTCAGGCAAAAGCCTAGAGATGGGCTTGGACTGCAGCCTGAGCTCTGAGACCATCACACCTCACAGTGATCTAGAGCCCAGGCTCCAGCCTGAGCCTCAACATCTACACCACAGTCAAACAGCTCTTTAGCCTGAGCCCTGTGTTCCCAGAACAGATGGGGAGGAAGCCCCCAGCATCTAATTGCAGCGGGGACAGTCTTTGTGACCTGAGGATGACATATTCAGGCTTGGGCTCTGATAATCCAGCAGGCAAAGTGAAGGATAGAGTGAAGGGCCCACCGCTGGAAACATCCTGAGTTCAGCCTCAGGTCTAGGGACCATCAGTAAATATGGGCCATCTGATTTTGGCTATATGGTAGTCCATGGAGAGAGGGGCAGATTCTTCAATAGCCAGAATCCAAACCAGTAGGAGTAGCAAGTATGAGACAGTGACTTTTCTGGCTATTACTGTTCAACCTTTCCCCTCTTCCTATCTCTATTCTGGTCCTTCGTGCAAGCTCCCACTGCAGGCTGTTGCAGTCTGCTGAGTCTTCCTCTGGGGTGGAGCTAGTAATTTAAAAGTGAAAAGTCTTCCCGCTTGCCAGACCTATTTGTATAACATTGAACCTGTCATTAAGTGGTAAAGAGCCATTTAACAGGCATGTGCCAGCCCAGAGTTATATGCTGTTTCTCAATTTACTGACAAAATTAGTTGTGAATTACTGTAATATATCTACAGGACTTTAGTTTAAAATCTACATTAAATATTTCATTAGCTTGTTGCTGAAGATTATAAAATCACATCTCTAAAAAATCTTTGCATAGATTTTAGAAGTACAATCTGTGTTCAGCTTTAGCGTTCAATGCTTGGATCGTCATACATATAGTTTTTAAATAAATTCTTCAAAATTCCACCCTTATCTAAAATACACATTTTAGTTACTATACTTTAAAAACTTGCTTCCAATGTCTTCCTGTTGTTTCTATCCATCCCTGCTCTACATTCACCCCCCTGTTGAAGAGAGCCCTTAAAGCAGTGTTTTCCAAATGGTTCTCGCAGAGCTCGATCACTCCTTCCCCTTAAAGAGACAGAAAGGAGCCAGCGTGCACTCCTGGGTGGTGGGGTGTTTTGTGTTTTTTTTTTCTTGACAAATTTCCACCCTGGCTGTAGGGGGTTCCTCAAAATTCTTCCGAGTTTAAAAGGGCTCCTTGGCCAGATAAAATTGGGAAACACTGCCTTAAAGGGACAATGTCCTTTTTCTTCCAGCTATCTGGACAAATGAGTTTCCCTTTCTCTACTTCAGACTGTTTAATGAACTAGTTTTAAGAGAACCCTCCACTAAAATCAGTCATTAATAAGATATAAAATTCTTTGTCATGTTTAAAATCTTTGGAAACATAACATATGGTGAAATTTAATAAATGAGTCTATTGTTATAGAGATCACACAAAATAAATTAGTGTTCCCTTTTTCTAAAATCAATGAACTTTGTTATGAACGCACTAAAACACTCTGACTGATTAATTTAAAATGTATTTGTTTCAGTGCATTAAATATTTAGTAATCTGGTATGGATTCTTTATGAAGACTTAAGAGTACATTAAAATATAAAATCATCTTAGAAATACTGATTAAGAAAATGTAAAACAGAGAAGACCTGCATCGTGTGTTCC